CTGTGCGGCGTCGCGCGCAGGCCCCCGCGCGTGAACTTGCGTCCCAAGACCGTCGCCGACGCGGCGCGCGAGTCCTCTCTCCCCTCCCGCGCGCACGAGCGCCGCCCAGTCGCGCGAGGGAGCAGCTTGGCGCCGAGCGCCGACCCCCGTTCGAAAAATCGCGCGCCCGTGCGCTCGACCGCTGGCGACGCGGCGCGCGAGTCCCCGCGCGCCCGTGCGCCCCGAGCGCTGCTCGGCCGCGCGAGGAGCCATGCCTGGCGCTGCGCGCCGACCTTTGGCGTGAGAGTCTGCGCTCCGAGATTTGAAGGAGCGTGTTCTACCGCTGCTGGCGGAAAACCGGGGGGGGCCACTACCGGTTCGATCAACGGCACCGTAACGGGTACTTACTAACGGGTACCTTGAATTTTTGCCGAAAGTTGCCACTTTAGGGCCTTTTTCTTGCATTGCAGCTTTGCCCACATCGGGAAGGGTTGGGTTCGCTGGGTCAGTGGCCAAAGTACCCGTTAGTGGAGTCCCCGTTTGCGGGGCGCTGATTCGAACCCCTCCCCCCCCCCCCCTCTGGAAAACCGGGGGGGGTCACTACCGTTTCGAGCCCTCCCCCCACCGCCCCCCAGTTCATAATGAAGGGGGGGTCACTATACCAGTTCGAACCCCCCCCCCTCGAAAACCGGGGGGGGGTCACTGCCGGTTCGAACCCCCACCCCTCCTCCCCCCCTTGAAAACCGAGTGGGGGTGCGGACAGTGGTGGGGACGGTGTAGGTGGAGGGGAGCGGGACAGTGGTGGGGACAGTGGGACAGTGGGACAGTGGTGGGGACAGTAGTGGTGGGGATAGTGGTGGGGACAATGGTGGGAACAGGGGGGACAATGGACAGTGGTGGGGACGGTGGTGGTGGGGACAGTGGTGTGGGGACAGTGGGAATGAGGTGGAAACAGTGGGACAGTGGAGGGTACAATGGTGGTGGGGACAGTGGTAAAGGCGGTGGCGAGGACGGCGGTGGGACAATGGGACAGAGGTACAGTGGGGACAGTGGTGGGGACAGTGGGGACAGTGCGACAGTGGTGGGGGCACTGGTGGGGACAGTAGGGACGGTGGTGGAACCAGTGGGGACAGTGGTGGTGAGGACAGTGGCGCTGGGAACAACAGTGGGGGATGTGATGCGGACGGTGGTAGGGACCGGGAGTCGTTTGCTGGCGGTGCGTGGGGGGGGGTCGAACCGGTAGTGACCCCCCGGTTTTCGAGGGGGGGTGGGTTCGGAACCGGTAGTGACCCCCCCCGGTTTTCCGGATCCGGGGGGAGGGGGGGGGGAGGGGTTCGAACCGGTAGTGACCCCCCCCGGTTTTCGAGGGGGAGGGGGGAGGGGGGGGGGTTAGGGGAAGGGGGGGGTTTTGCCGGGGGAAGGAGGGGGGGTTCCAGCAGGGGGGGGGGATTTTCGGAGGGGGGGGGGGGCGACCCCCGGGCTCTGGAGGAAAAGGTTGGCAATTTTCTACAGTAAAGCGGCGGTGGATCACGCTCTCTCCGAGATTTTCGCCGACGCCACGCGCGAGTCCTCCCCCCGCCGCGCACAGACGCTGCGCAGTCGCGCGCGGAGGCTGGCTGCTCGGCGCACCGTGCCGACCCCCCCGCGCGAAAATCGCGCGCCGAGGCCGCCGCCGATGCGGCGCGCGAGTCCGCGCCCCAGGGATCCTGACGCGGCCTGAGGTTTCCCGAGAAGGTGTTTTTTCCAGCCCTCCTGCGTCTGGTATTCGTTTTGAAAAGAGCGTTGCGGTCGCGACCTTCATTCCTCCCCCCCTCTCTTCTCTCAGCCCTGCTGCCTCTTGCCTCGCTCCTTCCTGCCGGCCAGCTTGTCTCCTGCCCGGGGGCTGCGATGTGCGAAAATGTCGCCACGTTCGAGGGCTGCTGGGGGGTCCAGCGGAGCGAGGCACCATCCAGACTCAGAGTAGACTTCGCCATCCTTGGGGGGCTGCGATCTGCGAAACCGTCGCCGCGCTCGAGGGCTGCGGGGGGGTCCAGCGGAGCGGGGCACCATCCATGCCCAGATTAGACCTCGCCATCCCTCGGGGGCTGCAGCCTGCGAAAATGTCGCCACGTTCGAGAGCTGCTGGGGGGTTCAGCGGCGCGAGACGCCACCCAGACTCAGACTAGACCTCGCCCTCCCTGTGGCTGCGATCTGCGAAAATGCCACCCCTTTCGAGGGCCGCTGGGAGTCAGCGGAGCGAGGCACCACCCAGGCCCAGATTAGACCTCGCCATCCCTCGGGGGCTTCGGTCTGCGAAACCGTCGCCACGTTAGAAGGCTGCTGGGGGTCCAGCGGAGTGAGGCACCACCCAAACTCATTTTAGACCTCGCCATCCATGGGGGGCTGCGATCTGCCACGCTGTCCCCACTTTCGAGGGCGGCTGGGGGGTTTGAGTGGGGCACCACCCAGATTCAGAGTAGACCTCGTCATCCCTGGGGGGCTGCAACCTGCGAAATTGCCACCACTTTCGAGGGCTTCTGGGGGGTCCAGCGGGGCGCTGTCGCGGGCCGCCCGCAGAACTGGCTATGCGCCTTCGAGCGTTTAGCTCCCGCACCGAAGAGTGCAGGAATGAAACAGGGAAACCGGCGGGCGAGCTAGGCCTCGCTCGCTTCTTGCGCTAGCTACGCGCAGGTTTGATCATTTTGCCGAGCGCCGCGGTGACATGGCGCAGGCAGCCCTGCATCTTTAGCGTACTACCGACGAAAGCTACGCTCTTTGGTCTACTCCCGTCACTTTCGTTGTCGTCCTCTGCCCCCTGCCACCTTCCCTCTGCTGTTGCCGCGCTGAGAGGTCGGGTTCCGCGCGTCCTTTTCCTGCCCTTCGTTCCCGCCCCCGTGTCCTTTTCAAGCCTGGGCCCTCGCTCCTCGTCGTTTTGTTGTCCTGTGACTCGTGCCACGTGAGCGCATCCCATGTAGCTTGCGCGACGTATAACAGCGCCTGCATTGTCATTGTCTCGGCTAGTTCGGGGCCAGTCGCTCTTGCCATTTGATGCAAATGGTATGGTACGTCACAGGGTAATTATTTTTTCCATGCAGACCCCCCGAACCCTCGCCCGCGCGGTGGTCGCTTTGCGATACGCCGGTATGTGCGACGTTGTTCGACGTTCGTCGACCATCGTCCGTAATTCATCGTCGTTCGTCGACGGTCGTCGTCTTGGTCACCATTCGTCGTTCGTCGCTCGTCGTCATCGTCGTCGTCGTCGTCGCTCGTCGCTCGTCGTTCGTCGTTCGTCGCATGTTTGTAGTCGTTTGTCGTTGGTCGTTCGCCGCCGCCGTCGTTCGGCTAGAGTCGCGCAGCGATGCGCCCGCGGTGGAATGCGACGCATGTCCTTTTTTCTTCTTCAATGTGGCAGCGTGGGGGGTGAGGCGAGGAGGGGACTCACTCGCGGACGCAGCCGAGGCAGGGTGGGGGGTCTGGGCCGGGACACGAGCATCGCGAGCGCGGACACCACCGCATCCCACCCCCAGCAATCAATCCAGTTGTGGCAACGTGGGGGTTGAGGCGAGGAGGGGACTCATTCGCGGACGCAGCCGAGGCAGGGTGGGGAGGGGCTGGGCCGGGACACGAGCATCGCGAGCGCGGGCACCCCCGCATCCCACCCTCAGCAATTAATGCAGTTGGGGGGTGGTGGTGCGCGCGCGTGCCCTACGAATACACACACGCACAGTCTTCAGGAGGGAAAGGAACACACAGACAATTGATCGTCGACCCCCCAGAAAATGTGCGAAGATATGGGAAGTGGGGGGGAAGACAAAAACCCAGAAGATGCGGGAACAGATGGGGAATCCTTTTCTCTGTGTCTATTCATCTGTGTGTCCCAGGGCCCCGTCAATCTTTTTTTCTCCCATTTCCCCTTTAGGGGCGCGAAGAGAATCGCGTTTTGCGCATTGTGGTTCGGGCCGGAGCGGCAGCCCTTCGCCACGGCGGGCGGCGCGAGGGCGCGAGGGCGCGAACAAAACCACGCGTCGCGCATCGCGGGGCGCGGTGCGTGAAGTTAGGTGTTCCCACTCTGTCTCTTTCTCTCTCCCTCTCCCTCCCTGTCTCTCCTTCTCTTTTTTTTGTCTCTCTCTCTCTCTCTTTCTCTCTCTCTCTCTCTCTCTCCTTTTTTTGTTTCTCTCTCTCTCTCTCTCTTTCTCTCTCTCTCTCTCTCTCTCTCTTTTTTTTTTCTCTCTCTCTCTCTCTCTCTTTCTCTCTCTGTCGCTCGGAGCGGCGGATGGCCAGGCCGCGGATCTCGAGGGCCCCCCCCCGCATCCGAGGCAGGAAAAACGGCACCACCACCACCGAATTCTCAGATTTCTTCGAGTGCGTCGGCATCCAATTTCGCCATGTGTTTCTGCTTCGTCTTTTCTTTGTCGGATAACACGGAGGACGTCGAGACCGCTTCCGGCGAAGAGGCCACGATGCCTCCCCGAGCGGCGGGTCGGAGACGAGGTGCTTCGAGCAAGGCCCCCCCCGTGGCTCCTCGCGCTAGAGTCGGCTCGGCTCTGCCAAATCAAGTCCGAGGCGGGACTTTATCCATATCCACCACCTGGAGGGTCAGTTTTCGGAGCCTCGGCAGGCGGTGGATATGGACGTATCCGGGCCCCCGGGGGCCGAACTATATATCCATATCCACCACCAGCTGGGGCACCAGGACGTCGGTACCCAGGCGGTGGATATGGATAAATGCCCGCCTCGCATCAAGGGTGCCTTTGTGTCCTGCGTCTCGCGGCCCAGGCTTCCTGCATTCCTAAGGCAACGTGGCCCTCGGAGGGGTCTTCTTGCCCTCTCGCGTGTCCTGTCCAATCGAGTCCGCCTGTAGTACGTCGACCCTGCCAAATCAAGGGTGCCTTTGTGCCCTGTGTCTCGCGACCCATGCCCCCTGCATTCCTATGGCAGTGTGGCCCTCGGAAAGGGTCTTTTGCCCTCTCGCGCGCCCTGTCCAGAGAAGTCCGACTGCAGTGGCGGCGGTGGTGCCGCTTTGCCCCCCGCTCCCGCCGCAGGAGCCGGGGGCGTCGCGCGCCGACGGGGACGCCGCGAGGCTCGCGTCGCTGGCCTTCCTGCGGCAGTACGTGCCCCGCGAGGTGCTGGAAGAGGACGGCCGTCGCCTGCCGTCAGCATCGGACCGATCCCGATCTCCATCTTAGGGGGCCACATGCGAACCCTACCCCTACCCCCCACGATTTCTGAGGGGGAGTGAACCCCACCCACCCCCTCAGAACTCGTGGGGGGGTAGGGGTAGGGTTCGCATGTGGCCCCCTACATCTCTACCCCCACGCAGATCCCCTCCACCCCTCGGAAGGCGGGCAAGGGCTGCTAAATCCGTGGCTGCTAAAATCGACCGTGAAGTTGTTTTTTCTTTCCGGGAGGGCCGTTTTAGCAGCCACGGTTTTTGCAGCCCTCGCCCAGCTTTCGAACCTCACCACCCCACTCGGGGACGTGCCCCTCAAATCTCGAAAGGAGCAGCCTGCATCCGCATCCTGGGGGGGCAGATCCGCCTCTGGGGCCCAGGGCACGCCCTAGAGGATAGCAATCGCTTAGGAGGAGGAGGAGGTGGAGGAGGAGCAGGAGAACAAGAATCAAGAAGAGGAAGAAAAGGAGGAGGAGGAGGAGGAGGAGGAGGAGGAAGAGGAGGAGGAGGTGGGGGGAGGAGGAGGAGGAGGGGGAGGAGAGGAGGAGGAGGAGGAGGAGGAGGAGGAGGAGGAGGAGGAGGAGACAGGAGGGAGGAAACGAGGGAGGAGGGAGGAAGGAAGAGGGTGGAGAGGGTAGGAGGAAAAGGAGAGGAAGAGGAAAAAGAGGAGGAGGAGGAGGAGAGGAGAAGGAGGAAAAGAGGAAAAAGAGGAGGAGGAGATGAGGAGAGGAGGAGGAGGAGGAGGACAGGAGGGAGGGAACGAGGAAGGAGGGAGGAAGGAATAGGGTGGAGAGGGTAGGAGGAGAAGGAGGAGGAGGAGGAGGAGTCTCATACTTCCCCCCACCTCCTCTCGTGGGCCGGAACCTTCCTGGGGTCCGCAGCGCCGGCGAGCGCCCACGCGATCGACAGCCGGCGGGCCGCGCGCGCTTAGGGTACGCTGGACAAGGGGAAACGGAGAGGGCGGCCGCGGAGGGGGAAGGAAGAGGAGGAAGGACAAGAAGGAGGATAAGGAGCAGGAGGAGGAGGATGAGGAGGAGGAGGAGGAGGAAGAGGAGGAGGAGGAGGAGGAGGGGCAGGAGGAGGGGCAGGAGGAGGAGGAGGAGGAGGAGGAGGAGGAGGAGGACGGGTAGGAGGAGGATGGATGAGGGGCGCACAGCCTGGCGCTACCGATCCGTACGGAGGCGCAGGGCAGAAAAGGGATAGGCCTGCCGAAGGGGGGCAGGGCCCGATGACGTAAAACTCAATCGGGACATTACGGGGCCGGCCATCATATTTTTGACAGCGCCAACCTAGCTCAGGCGAGTTAGGCGGCACTCGACAGGCCTCCCCCCCGATAACTATACATAAACTCGACTGGATCGAGTGGCTTCCACGTTCTCGGGTGGAGGCCACGTGCAGCGTATTTAATGTTGGTTGCCTGGGAGCTTCGAGTCGAGGGATGATTCGATCTACCCAGGCACCTGGCCTTAATCCCACGAAGATTACCCCCAGGATGGATAGTTTGGGCCGAGCACAGGGAACAGAAGACAACCTGACCAACCTGCTCCATTTGGTGGCCCTGGGACACGAAACGGTCGGTGAGGGTTTCGACGGGCGGCGCCTGGACGACAGGAGCGGGCCCCAGGACCCTCTCCGCGCCCTCAAGGGCCAACGGCGCCGCCGCCGAGGACATCGGGATGCCTTGCTCGACGCGCAAGGCGAAAACCGCCTGCGCCTGCCAGGCCTGGTGCGATGTTGGACCACAGACTCTGCGCGAGCCAGAAAGCAACTGAGCCAGGGACGAGGGCGTCCGAGCGAGGAGGCTACAAGCACGGCACCGCCACTCATTGAGCGACGGGAGATGGAAGACGTCGTGCTGAGACAGCACCAGATTCGCATCCCGAGGAACAGGACGGGGCCCCTGGACCAGCGGCTCGGCTCGGAAGACGGGGTCGACAGCTCCTGAGCAACAGCGGCGATCGACTGCGCGAACCTGGACAAAACATCGAACGTGAGTTTCGTCGAGGCTATAACGCCCGACTGGATTTTTTCCAGGGTATGGGCCGCGACGTGCGACTCAGCCCCCAGGCGGGCGAAACAATCGGCCCAGAGATTCCCCAAAGAGTAAATCACCTCAGACTCGGTCCCAGTTGCAACCACATCGTCCCAATACCTGTGCGACGGGGTCCACTCAAAGGACGGCCTCGGCCCAGGAAGGGGTACAAAACACAAAAATGGCCTCCCAGATGCCAGCATGCCGCGATCCACTCGAGGCCTGGATGGGGTTCCCACGCCGCCCCTTCCTGGACAGCACGCAGGTGGTCCGAGACAGCGTGCACACTAATGGGGGCTGACTCGAAGCGCCTGACAGATCGCTTGGGGGCGGACAGAACCCCCAACAGTGACACGTCGATTAGTGAATTGTCCGTTTTCGGTTCTCGAGAGGGCGCCGTGGCCGCTATTTTCCAGGCTCGCGCCCGCCAGGTTTGGGCCCCAGGTCGTTTTCACTAAACCACGTTTTACTAAAGGGGGGTCTGTCCATCCCGGAATCGCAAACCGCTCAGCCCGAGGAACCGGCTGCAGCCGACCAGGGAGGCACCCGTGCCGAGCCCGAACGGGGAACCCACGGGGCCCCGACTCCACGACGGACCATCCACACCGTCTGAGTTCGGGGCTGTTGGTACACGGCCCCGAACCGTCGGCATAGGCGGTCCGCTCCCAAGGCGCCTCGGCCCCACCCCACTCACACACAGGGAGCACATCGGGGACGGGGTCGAGAGCAACAGGGCCCAGGGGGAGCCCAGAAAGGAGGCCCAGGGAATCCCCGATGTGCACACCCTCTTCAAAACGACCCTTCTCCCGAAGTTCAGACCTGCGTGCGAGAACGTCCTCTGGGATCGGCCTTGCGAACGAGGGTAGTCCAAGACCGTCTCGCACTGATATATCTGGTGACCCAGGGAACCGACAACCTGCTGACTGCAGAGCGCACAAAGAGGCGAGTCGCAATATCCAGCAGCATGTGTTCTCTCTTGTGTCCACATGGCATTGCTGATCAGACAGCGGAGGGCGGCACGACGCGTGCCGTCGCGTATTTTAAAGAAAGCAACTCGTAGCCCTCGAAACCACAGGCGCTCTGACCCGCACGGTGGAGGGAGGTGGCTAAGCATCTTCTGCGCTTGCCACATTTGTATTCCCTCGCGGAGCAGAATCTTGAGGTCGAGCGGAGGGGCGAGGAGCAAGTTAATGTGCCGTCCGCCGTCGTCGACGACGATGTGCGCAGCAGCCATGCCCCAATTAATGCGCATGAAGCATACCAAAACTGCACGGATTGGACCGCGGCAAGACTTCCAAGTCGGGCGGTCCTGGACCTGCTGGAAAATATCAGCACCCAGGCTCTCCGGGGCCGGCCCAGGGAAAGCTTAGAATCCCGGAAGTAAGACGCGAGACGCTGGAGCAGAGCGGGATGGTCGCATCATATATGAGGTCGTCGTATGGGGTCAGGCTGGGTGGCTAACCGGGTCGTGAAAGACCCGCTTCGCTGCGCGCCCGCCACGTTTCCCGCCGTGGTCCGACGGGCCCCCGAGGTCGGATCGGTCGGCCCTGACGCCCCCGCCCCGTGCGCACCGGCGGGCACGGGGCCCGGCCTCCGCAACAGACATATTTCAGTCGGGCCAGCCCTGCGGAGCGCGGACAACTTGTCGCGCCGTGTCAGAAGCTCGCCAACGCGAGCCTTCTCTTGGTCCCTCACAGGCCGGCCTGACAAAACAAAAACCTTGTGGCCGCGATTTCTCACGTGGGCGTGGCTACGGAGCTTCACGATGCGAGCAGACGGCGACAACTGGGACGACGCTCTCACGGCCGTAGCCACGAACCCTTTCTTGGCCGCTGGAGGATAAGGCCGAGCTTCTTCACTTGGGCACAGTGCCACCACACAGCGGCCAACAGGACTTCGCTCTCTCCGATGCGTTTACGGATGAATTGGAACCTAGAGTCACCCATGAGGACCCTGGGCAGAACTCAAACAGAATCTACGCATCTGGGATATAACGCGTGCGAGAAGCACTCGCATCATAGTGTTAGCGTGGCTACAGCCCGCTAGTATCCCTCGGCGAGAGACGACCTGCTGAGAAACCGACCCGAACGCTTGGATACCTCGGCGACGCTGATGAGGCGCAAGGATCATCCACATCATGCGCAGCGAGTATCCTACGCACATGGCTTCGGAGAGAAGTTTAGCTACTGTGATGCACTCGCAGCACTAAGCATGTCTAAACAAGACGCTCGCTGACCGAGTATTCCCCCAAAGCCGTCGCCGCTTCCGCCCCCAGACCAGGTCGAATGCCGCGTCCGAGGAACTTGCCCCTGGCCCGTTCTCCCACAACGACGGGCCCCGATGGGGGCGCTCCCAGGATTGAGACGCAGGTTCCCGAACCCGCCCCCGGAGACGGACCAGGGAATCGAGCAAAGCTATTAAACGGAGGCCCTCAGAAGGCTTCGGGGGCCGAACTCGACGAGTCTCGAGGCGGCGAGCAGGCCGCGCAAGGAGGCGCTCACGCGCCGCGAACAGCATGCCGATCGTGGACAGGCCCTGCTCCGACAGGGCGAGCAACGTCCGCGGGTTGACGCCAAGCCGGCCGAGCGCCGTCTTGGTGGGGAACGACCTCATAGCCCGCTTCAGCATGTCCGCGTCGATGGGTCGGAGCGGCCCCCACTGCTGGGCACTTTTGGGCAGCGGCGCCTCCTTGCAGTCGCGCGTGCTCCAGACCATTTTCCATTCCGACATGCAACCATCAGCCATCTCGAGTGGCTGGGTACGTGCAGTGTGGTTAGCCAACTCCTGCAGCTCCTTGGCCTTGGAGAACGTATGAGCAGCCCCCATGCCGTCCAAGAAAGCCTCTCGCACCCAGGAGGCCCGAGCCGTGTTCGACGCAGCGGCAAACCCCTGCAGGCGGGAGTCAACTATGCCCAGCAGCTTCTGAACCTGCT